AACACGATAGTTAAACTATCCCAAAGTATTGCAATAAGGGGAAATCTGTCTAATCATTGGATTTGCCAGCGTCTCCCCAAATCCAACCAAGACAAACATCTGCCATCTCTGACCCCTTTTACTGACTTTTTAGACATCCCTGATATGACCACCCACTTAGATCTTCCTGTTCTTACCCACTTTTTAAGTTCGATTGGTCACTCGTCAAGATACCCCTACCCCATGTTTTCACTTGTCCCAATTCCTCAAGATAGGTAGAAAGCAGTGGTCCCCAGGAACAACTCTATCCCTAGCTTATTTGACCAACAGATATAACTGGGATGGATGGAGAGTCAGGTGAGGGAGGTGTCAGCTTTATGCCAATAGGTAAGGCACCTGAAATACCATGTAGATGGACTTTGGAAAGCTTGTGAATATTATGACCCTTGTTTTGATTCTGTGCTGGTGAAACTCCCTAAGAATGAATCCATAAATGAATACACCCTTGAAAGAATTACATGCACACCCCCAGGATATACGTTTGTCTGTGGCATGGGGTCTGACCCTCCATTGCTGTGGGCCCAATGTTGTATAGACAGCTTGCACATAGAAGGCTCTTGCTTGCTAGGTCATTTCATAACTCCATTCACTATACTCCCTAACAATAAGAGCCTCTATTCCCTTCCCCATAGATTTATAAAAGGGTTGCCAGGAGGGTACTACGACACCTGGCAGCAAAACCCGGTGAGAGCACTAGTCCCTACTTATGGAGTATATGCCAACAGGGACATAATTAGAAACCTTTCTGCAACTCTAGGACTGATCACAGAAGAAACTGCAAAAAGTCTTAGGGCTCAACAAAGGTCCCTCAACTTGCTAGCCCAGGTAGTCTTAGATAATTAGGTGGTGCTAGACTAGATTTCTTGTTGGCTAAACAAGGGGGAGACTGTGCAGTACTAAATACTACCTGTTATGTTGTGTCTACATAAATTCCTCAAGAGAAGTTGAAACCCGAATAGAAAAAAATTTTCCAACAAGCTGTGTGACTACAACAGGGCTGTACCACCGACACCACACCTGACTGGTTTTCAGAAAAATTCACTTGGATTCCTCAGATCTGTAGATCAGTTCTACAAGGACTCTTGAAGTTAGGAGTCTCACTCCTTATTTTAGGGCTTACTATCTATCTTATAGTTCACTGTTCACTTAAGTACTGTGCTAAGGCTGTAAACAAGGGTACTAACGTTCTCATCATGCAAACCTTAGGTCCGAAACCCAGTACCCATGAATATTTGCAGATGACCACCAAACGCTTTCATTCCTCTTACCCTGGGCTCAACCCCAACAGTGCCCCTTGTCAGCAGGAAGAAGCAAGATTTGTCCTCTGCCCTTTCCTGTCTCATTTTAACACACCTCAGGAATGAGGTTGGGTAAAAGCCCAGAGGGGAATTGAAACCACCCTTTACAAATCAATAAAGGGGTATAAGGCGAGAACTCGCCTTATAGGTAAGGGCCTAAAACTCCGCAAAGGCACAGGCCTACCTACAAATGATGATAATAATCAGTCACTATCCCCTCATTTGCTTTGTAATAATCAGCCACTGTCCCCTTGTTTGCCCCTCTATAATTGCTGCTCCGGAGTCACATAGCTGGTGGTCATAAAGATTCTTAACTTTCTCCATAGATAACATCACCTTTTCAAAACCTAAAGGTAGTTTCTGAGAAATCTTCCAGGCCCCACATTCCAGTGGATTGGCCAACCCACCCGTCTGGCGGCCCATACTGTGAAACTGACTCAACTGCAATTCTGACCCCGGCCCAGGAACTGACTCAACACAAGATGATTTCTATACCCCTATGATTTTGCCCCAAACCTAGCCAATTAGCAAACCCAACTTCCTAATCCTTTGTCCACCAAATTATCTTTAAAAATCCTGTCTCCAAATCTCGGGGAGGTGGATTTGAGAAATTCATCCCATCTCCCCACTTAGTGCTCTGTAGAATTAAACCCTTTCTCCATTGCAACCCCAAATGCCTCAGTGTATTGGCTCTTCTCTGTGCAGCAGGCAATACAACATGGTTGGGTAGCAACAATCTTATCATAGAAAATCTTTAAGAATCCACTAAAAAAATTTAGACTGATAAACAAAAAAGGAAGTTTTTAGGATACAAGATCAATAAACAACAACAAAAAATATATTCCTCATAATTGCAACAAAAATTCAAAATAAAATTCAGATTAAAAGAGTCACACTTAAAATACCATCAAAAATAATACAATTCTTAGGAATAAATGTAACAAAAAATTGTACAACCTTCTCAGTGAAATCTACAAAACACTACAGAAAGTAATTATAGAATATATAATTAAATGAAATAGAATCTCACGTTCCCAGATTGAAACACTTAATATTGTTATAATGGCCATACTATATTCCACAAATTGATATATAGATTCAATGCAATTCTAGTAAATATCACAGCTAGCTTCTTTACATAAATTTATAAGCCGATCCTAAATTGGAAGAAACACTTCTTGCTTTTAAAGACAAATACAAATCTATGGTAATCAAAAGAGTGTGGTAGTATGTGGTATAGTCATGCAGATAAACATACAGATCAATGAAATAGATTTTGGAATGGAATCCAAACATATACCCACACATTCATGTTTTTATTTATTTATTTATTTTTTTTTAGAGACAGGGTCTGGCTCTGTTACCCAGGCTGGAGTGCAAAGGTACAATCATTGCTCACTGCAACACTGCAACCTCTAACTTCTGGACTCAAACAATCCTCCCACCTCAGGCTACCAAGTAGATAAGACTACAGATGCATGCCGCCATGCTTGCCTAATTTTCTGTTTGTTTTATAAACACATGGTCTCGTGATGTACCCCAGTCTGGTGTGCAACTTCTGTACTCAGGTGACCCTCCTGCTTTTGTCTCCCAAATGCTCGGACTACAGGCCTAAGCCACCATGCCCAGCCACATTTCTGGTTTTTGGCAAAAATGACAAAACAGTTTAATGGCAAAAGTACAGGTTATTTAACAAATGCTGGTGACAAAACTGATTATCCACACACAAAGAATAAAGTTGAACCTCCTACCTTAAACCATTTAAAAAATTAACTCAAAATAGATTTAAAATAACTTCAATATAAGGGTGAGAACTAAAAAAATTCTAAAAATATAATATGGAGATTAATCTTTGTGACCTTGAATTTGCTATTAGTTTCTTAGATATGGCACCAAAAGAAAAAGCAATCAAATTAAAATTGATAAATTCGACTTCATCAAAATTAGCACTTCTGCACTTCAAAGAACATGATCAAGAATATGAAAAGAAAACACCCAGAACTGGACAATATATTTGCAAATTATTTGTCTAATGAAGGACTATTATAAAAAATATATTTTAAAAAATACAACTCAATAATAAGATGAATAAGCAAAACAAAAAGGGGCAAGGGATTTGAATAGAAATTCTGCCAAGAAAAATATACAATGGATGATAAGCACAAGAAAAAAGTTTCAACACTTTTAGAGAACAAGGAAATGTAAAACATAATGAGATATCACTTCACTCTCACTGGTTATAATCAAGAGATACATAATAAAAAGTGCTCGCCAGGATGTGGAGAAATTGAAACCCTCATAGATTGCTGGTGGGAATGAAAAATGGTGCAGCCAATGTGGAAAACAGTCTAGCAATTCCTGAAAAGTATAAACATATAGGTAGCATATGACCCAGTAATTCTACTTCTAGGCATATACCAGAGAGAAATTAAAATATGTCAACACAAAACTTGTACATGAATGCTGATTAACAACATTTTTCATAAAAGCCAAAAATCAAACAAAATCAATGTCCATCACTTCATAAATGAATAAATAAAATATTTATATCCATACTATGGAATACTATTTGGCAATAAAAATGAATTAAGTCCCTATATAAGGAATAGCACGGATGATCCTCTAAACATTATGCTAAGTGAAAAATGCCAATCACAAAAGACCACATATTTATGATTCTATTTATCAAACTGTCCAGAAAAGGCAAATTTATAGATACAAAAATTAAATTGGTGATTGCCTAGAGAAGGCAGGATGGAGAAATGCAGAGTCCGGAGATAAAGGCAAAAGGGCACAGGGTTACTTTTAGGGAGATAAAACTATTTGTTGTAGTGGATGCGCAATTATTTGAGTGTCTTAGGAAACATTTAATTTTAGTCAATCATTGGTTAATCATGTGGTATATACATTACATATCAACAGAGTCTTACAAAAAAAAAATCTTTGAACCATGATATACAAATGACTCAGCTGTATAATTACTTTATTTCTAGTTCTGTGTCAAGGGACTGCAGACCCAGGAGCTTCTCACTTGCCACTATTTTTTTTTTGTTTATTTCAGCGTATTATGGAGGTACAGATGTTTAGGTTACGTATGTTGCCCTTGCCCCCCGCCAAGTTCGGGTTTCAAATATGTCCATCCTTCGGGTGGTGCGCATTGCACTCTTTGTGTATGCATATACCCGTCCCCTCCTCCCTCCTCCCCCCTCCCCTCTCATCCAATAGATGTTATTCTTATATGTGCACTTATGTGTTGATCAGTTAATACCAATTTGATGGTGAGTACATGTGGTGCTTGTCTTTCCATTCTTGGGATACCCACAATGAGCTATCACTTATCTCCAGTGAGACTGGCCTTTATCAAAAAGTCCCAAAACAATAAATGTTGGCGTGGTTGCCACTATTTTTGATAGTACTCTAACATATATTACATAAGACATATTACTTTCGCATGCAAGGTCATCAAAATTAGCTGGATTAATGCACTTATAAACAGAAAGGGACATTAAACACATTTGAGTAAATACGAGGTCATCTACCTTTGGTTTGTCCACTTGCCAATCACATTCTCAGACTTCTCAGAGAATGGACTTACTTTGAGTGTAGGAGTTAAATTTTACCTTGATTGATTTATCCTTAGCTATAAGCATGAGAAATGACAGAAAGGACCAGCAACTGGAATAAAAAGTATTGCATTTCACCAAGATGGCTATGAAATTGGCTTCAGTTCTTCTGCTGATACAGCTGAGTGGTTACTTTAGCTCTGGGACTTGTGGAAAGGTGCTGGTGTGGCCCACAGATTTCAGCCACTGGATGAATATGAAGACAATCCTGGATGAACTTGTCCAGAGAGGACACGAGGTGACTGTACTGACATCTTCATTTTCCATTCTTGTTCATCCCAGCAAAACATCTGCTATTAAATTTGAAGTTTATCCCACATCTTTAACTAAAAAGGACTTTGAGGATCTTTTTTGGAAACTGATGAAGAAAATGATATATGATACTCCAAAGAATACGTTTTGGTCATATTTTTCACTAGTAGAAGAAATTATGTGGGAATATTCTGACTGTATTAGAAAGATTTGTAAAGATGCAGTTTTAAACAACAAACTTATGACAAAACTAGAGGAGTCAAAGTTTGATGTTGTTTTTGCAGATGCCTTTGGTCCCTGTGGTGAGCTCCTGGCTGAAATACTTAAAACACCCCTTGTGTACAGTCTCCGCTTCTCTTTTGGCTACACATTTGAGAAGTATAGTGGAGGACTTCTATTCCCTCCTTCCTACGTACCTGTACTTATGTCAGAATTAAGTGATCAAATGACATTCATAGAGAGGGTAAAAAATATTTTATATATGCTTTATTTTGACTTTTGGTTCCAAACATTTAATATGAAGAAGTGGAATCAGTTTTACAGTGAAGTACTAGGTAAGTCATGTTTTTAATTCGTGATTGTTAATTCCTATCTCTTCTTGTGAATTTGGAAGGTGAGCTTGTATGAATACGAAGTCAGAGGACTGTATGTTTTGTAACTGAAATGATTAATGGAAAACCTAAGATGATCTATCAATCGCACAAACATTATGGAAAGATCATAGGATCACTTAGAACCTTGTGGCCGTCACTCCTATAGCACACTCCACGAAGTCATAAATGTACAAATTAAAGCATTTAAGATTTCTTTAAGCAATCCCCTATCCATTGTACTATCCATTTTTTCATCTTTATTAAAAGTTAACAGACACACCAAGAAACACCTTGACGAAGGCTGATGTGTAGACTGAGGAATTATACATTGTTCTGGCACAACTATTAACATAGCATTGAAGAAATTGTTTCTCCTCGTATACCTTATTTTCCTTATTTAGAAATGAAAATATTTTTGATATTCAGAAGAATTCCTTCACAGTTGAGAGATTGCTCTATCTCAGAAACAGACACCTAAAATTTGAGGTTTCTAATATTTCTACATTCCTTCACTAAGGGCTTAGAGATTATTTATTTTAAGGCCTAAAATCTTATTGGCACGTGAACATCCAAATTTTTATCTATATTTTATTAAAATATACCTCTACATTATGAAAAATAGGAACTAAATGAAGGGCGAGCAAAAATTATCCATTTCTATAACTTTTGAAAATTTCCACATGTCATTTCCAAGTATACTTATTTTTAAAATACAATATTATTAAGATCTTCCCATGAACCCAAAGAAGTAATAGGTACAAGGATTTCAACCATATTTTCAAAAAACTCTTGATATAATTGGCAAACCAAGGATCATGAGACTAGCTTCATAAATTGAAGTAACAAAATGGAGTAATTATTAGAAGGAAGTTTTTATCAGTTTGGTAGGAATAATTGATAGTGGAGCTTAAAGAGTTTTTTAAAAGCATACTTGTTCCTATTGCAGCTTTAGAAAAGAAACAAATGCATGGGTAATTCCATAGTGGCTTATATTAATAATTACTGATGATTGTGAATATACTGATGTGACGTTAGAGACATAGTCTCCTCTAAAAAGTCTCTTAGCACTTTGCTTTTCTTATACAAACCTGTGAGCAACATATATAGTACATGGAAATTAAATCATGCCTATATATGTCTGTTTTATCAAAGCACACTTTATATATCTTTGGCTACTTTATTCCAGCTCCTTTCAGGAAATTATTTTTATATTCTCAGGACAACTCTCTTGTGTCATCTACCTTTTGTTTTCTTTTTTTGCCCTTCAGGCAGACCCACTACGTTATATGAGACAATGAAGAAAGCTGATATGTGGCTCATTAGAACCTACTGGGATTTTGAATTTCCTCGCCCACTCTTACCAAATTTTGATTTCGTTGGAGGACTCCATTGCAAACCTGCCAAACCCCTGCCTAAGGTGAACATATTCCCATTTGTTTGGTTTTGTTTATTTATTGTAAGAGTTGAGGCTCTTCACCATTATTCTAGCGTAAAAGGAACACTGTTCCTCACCAATATAAAGGTGTTCCCAAAATAGTTACAGCAGAACTTAATGTTTACTTGCTTCACTCCAGCATTGAAATCATTCCTCACTGAGATCCCAGAGTTTTACCTCTTAGAGCATAAAAGGGATGGTTTACTTATCAGAGCAGGTGTTTCCTGCCTTAGGCCAAGTCTACAGGATACCCCAATAAAGCTCCCCAGGGAAGCTTTTGTCTTGACATCATAATTGCCTGTTAGAGAAGCACAGAGAAAATGTACAGTCCATATATAATAAAGACCAACTAAGTTCTATTACTTGTATCTGAAAAGTGACCTTAGATTTGAGTTACAAAAGAATTCTGCCAGCATATAAAATAATATTCCTCATGATGGAAACTAAGAACCAAATATATTTTACTTTAATATCATACTTTTAAGATGAAAGGAGAAAACGGGCTTTTTAGTGTGCTATTATGTGATCTTTTACAAGATCTTTTTGTCTGCTTTCTTATTAGCACGAACGTAAAACTGAAATCTTATTCAAAGGTAAAACTCAGTATCTATGTGGAATGTAAATTGTTTATGATAACTTTCACAAGGGACAAGAGGAGAGGTAAGATTAATGAAATTCTTATTCAATCTAACGATATTCTCAATAAATTTCCCCATTCACATTAAAGGAAGGTGATAGTGCCAGTAGGAGGGGGAAGAGAATATGATGAGAAGAACAAGGAGCAAGATGACTAGTAGTACAATAGTGATAATTACTAGTAATAGCTGTTGCTACTAACTTGCATGATGATTTGAAGTCAATAGTTGTGAAATCTGTTCTCTAATTACTATATAAAGTAATTGTGACCCCAAATTGCTTGCTTTTCCACTGAATACTAGATTCTTAGATAATGCTGGTGTATTTTATTAATAAAATAGTAAGACATTTGGCAAAATATACCAAGTGTTTTAAAAATGCATATAGCTGTTGGTTTCACAGTATGCTTACATGAAACTGTACGGAGAAAAAATAAATCAAGATGGACAGATTTAATATTTGTGGCAGATCTACATAAAATAAACACTGGAAGTAACTTAAATATCTTACACAAAAATGATTAAAAACTCATACACTGTGCATACCATACCACAACAATAATTTTACCATAAAGTAATTAATCAGCAGAATGCAAGATTAGTTGGAAACTAAGGGGCAAAACAATGAAGAGAACAATATCACTTTTTTGTAGGATGAAAGGTATATAAAATAAGATGAAAATTTTCTAAATATATGTCACATAAGTATATTATGTTATATAAACAGAATAAAAACCATAATCAAAGTACACATATTTAATTGGGAATATCCCTGGACAGAGAATACGGGTGAAACTCATTATTTTTCTGTTACATTTTCATTCCATTACAAAATTTCTTACATTGATCTTGTATTGTTTTCACAAAGATATAACAGAATGAGATCAGTAATGTATCTGTAAAAAGAGGTTGTATTACTTTGATACTGAATGGATGGATGAATAATGTTTTGGGGGGCAGTTAGCCAGTGAGACAAAACATTAAACACAAGTTACATGAAATGTGGCATCAGGAAACTAAAATTACACAGAATACCCTCTTTTTCTTTGTATTACATGGAATAGTAACACGCTGACTCTCCTTTAAAAACCGATGTCATTTAGTTAAAACTATATTTTTCAAATTTGGAATTTTTTTGTAAACACAGTTTTACACAGAAGGTTTACTCCAAGGATTAATATATGAAAGTTTACTTGTTATGTTGAAGGAATGATTATTTCACAGAGAAGAAAAAACAATATATGAATTTAATATGAAAGGAACAACAACAAAAAATGAGTATACGATTTTGACGTAATATCCAGGAAATCCTTGGCTCTACATTTATTCTTTTTTCTCTTTGATTTGTTTTGGTTTGTTTGTTTTTTTCTTTGGTGGGAGAATACATTGAGCAATTTGGAATTATTTCTGTAGAGAGTGTATTTAAATTCAAAATTTGGCACACAATGGGAAACAACAGTCAAAATAATTCTCAGTCAACTCCAAGCAAGCACATAATCACCAGGAGTTTTACAGAGAGTGATTGAACTCCTCAAGACAGTGACCAGATCTCCATGACACAAAGCTTGGTGATTCTCTCCAGTGTGATGCAGGTGCTGTCTGTGGGACACAGTGAAAGGATAATGACAGTTTCTCCCAGACAGTTATAAATAGCTCATCAATTTAATCATGCAATTTCAGGATAAAAAAAAAATGTCATCTACACAATGACCTAAGAAATCTAATCATTCAGCTATGTAACTATACACCCTAGAGAAGGGCTGTCCAGAAATTATCCACCCATGTTATACTTTATTGTTCTATTAACGATGGCTAGATACTTTCTACACAGCCCTCATAATTATGTATTATAAATGGAACCCTTGGGACTATTTCTCTAAAAGTCCAAACCATAATATCATAATTCTAAATATCAGTGACTCTTAACCTCCAGCTTTTAAGTGTGTGAGTGTGTGTGTGTTTGTGTGTGTGTATACTCTTTTTTTTTTTCTTTAGGGCAAAAGACTGGGAAACTCTGAAAAATATTAAGTGAGGTATAAAAGATTATAGAACTAAAGAAATATAGATAAAAAAATTCATCCCAATCCTTAGTAAGATTTCTTCCTTGCTCATAGTCAAGGAATGACTCCAATGGCTCCAAAGTAAAAAAATTCTACAGAAAAATGCCTGAAATGAACAGAAGTGATTTAGTAGAACTACAACCATACACAATTAAACCCAAGGGAAGCCACATTTGAGAACCTATATTAGTAAATATAATAATATACATGAAGAGTCTGTGTATGATACTTTCTAGCATTATCTCTCCCAACTACATTGTAACAGCTCTACTTCATTTCTTCTTCCGACACACATATCTACATGCAAACACATATTTGCACAAATATATAAAATAGAAGCCCTCTATCTCATAATACACATTTCTTTCCAAAAACTTCATGATTAGGTCAGTTAAAAAATAATTCTTACTCTAATGATTCTTCAATAGAAGAAGAATTATTGATTCTTGATTTTCTCCTCTTAGATGTTTGTAAAAATCCTTTCAACTATGTTGTTGTACTGATACCCATTTGTGATGGAACACATTCTTTCTTCACAGGAGGTGGAAGACTTTGTCCAGAGCTCTGGAGAGAATGGTGTCGTGGTGTTTTCTCTGGGGTCAATGGTCAGTAACATGACAGAAGAAAGGGCCAACGTGATTGCTTCAGCCCTTGCCCAGATCCCACAAAAGGTTAGATAAAGTGCCTGGTGGTGGACAGCTACTGAATGATTGACTCTGTTAAACTTTGTAAAGAGCACAGCTGCAGAAATTCTCTGTCCAAAAGGTTAACTATTTTAGCATAGCTCTACTTATCTCAGATATCAGCTCAAAACTAAAATATATACGGAAGATGCTAAAATGGTAATAACGTAGATTTTCATTTTTAATAACTTCGACACTAACATTGTGATCATAAACAAGTATACTTAAGAAGTGCAGTGAAGTTCTGGTATTATCATGGTATTGCAAGCATGTACAGAGAAATCACCAAATTCTACTCTGTCATTTGATCCTATTTTTAACAGAATTTTGGAAGGCACTGTATACACTATAGATATTATCAGAGAGGAGTTAAATTTTAGTGAGTGTCTGCACTAGCACAATAACAATAAGCAGGTATTGAAAAAAGTCTGCAATGCATTGCAGTTTAGGCTTCCCGTGCGATCTAACCTTTTGTACTTCCAATAAATTTGGAATATATGCTGCCGAAGGAAGCACCTTCCTATAAATTTGGAATAGGCCTATTCAGTATGCTGTGCAGGATTCTATTCAGAGAAAGAATGGCCCCTAGGCTGAAAAATCACTACTCCAGATACCCACTTAGCTGAGCAGATTTACAGAAAGAGAAAACCTTGCCTGCCTTGCTGGTCGGGGCCTGAACGTAGTGAAAAGATGCAGATGGGATCCTGCCCTTAGAGTAGAACTTGTGCATTATAAAACGTGGCCCCACAAGGATTCTACTCCAATCACTAGATTCACATCGCCTCCTAACTGAGGAGGGAGAATGGAATAAAGGAAGGAGTCAATCAGAAGGAAGCCAAAAATGGGAAGAGGTTCAGATGCCCCTTCCATGACATATAGTAGGAACTTATTTACTAATACATAGAATACACTTGCAGTCTATGTGTGTATTTGTGAATTACTTTTTAGTTTTCTATCTGAAATAGACTTCTCCTAATGACCTGTGCCACTTTTTTGCTGAAAACTTGAAATACTTCAACACTCAAATAGCAAGTGGAAGGTAAACACTTCTAAATTTTATTCATAAGGATTGCCCGGGAAATCTACAATAAGCTTATTTTGGTACTGGGCATGGAAATGGCTTAGTTATAGCAGACCATAGGAATCACTGCTGTAGCCTATCATCTAAGTGTTAACGATCTAGTGAGTAAAATTTAGCAAAACACACTTTTAGCCTTTTTCAACGGCTGGGTTGTTATTCGTAAATTGACCACCAGCTCTGTTTTTCTACATTGAAAGAATTTTGAAAACTAGAAATAGTGATAACACTCCAAGTTTTTGTCAAAAATTGCCACTTAAAATTTTGCTTGGGAGAAGTGCTCGATAACTTATTTCTAACAGTTATGTATACTAGTTATGTATACTAGTTATGTATACTACCAATGCAGCATTGATATATTTTTGACAAGTAGCTGATCTTACTGATTTGCTTTTTTGTAAATCAAATAATGCCTGACTGTAATGAAATTACTTTATAGGCCAAGTAGATATAAACAATTACTCAAATGCTTGATGTGACAGATACCACAATTACCGTGATTTGATAATTACACATTGTAAACCTATATCAAAACATCACATATACCCCATACATATTTACAACTATTATGTGTCCAAAATAATTAAAAATAAAACATTTAGAAAAACAAATAAACAGATTAATATTAATTTTATAAGATGACAGCTAGTATAAAATAAACAAAATAAATGTATAGATCATTACTAATGTATGTTTTTATGCTAGAATTACCTTGACTGTCAAATGATTTCTTAAATATTTGCATTTATCATTCAAAATATAATTTCTCTAAGTTACTTAGAATTCCTTGTATACCAAATTGATTATAACACTATGCACATGAAATCTGGTTATTCTATTTACCTCAGAGTTTTAGTAGTTCTCATTACTTAACAACCTTGTTCTCATTTCTTCATCTTTTATATGGAGGGGATTTAACCAGATGATTGATAACCCTTTTAGAGTTTTCCCATGCCATAACTTTGGAGTTCCACCATGGAACAAGGTATTTTCTTTTCCCTAACAGGTTCTATGGAGATTTGATGGCAAGAAACCAGACACCTTAGGACCTAACACTCGGCTGTACAAGTGGATACCCCAGAATGACCTTCTTGGTAAGATTCTGGAGAAAAAAAAACTGAATATATGTGTAACAGTCAGTTAGAGTGATAGTAGGTCAAAAGCAGCTAATATAGTGAATATTTATTTTTGAAAACACAAAAATAAAACCTAACTACTTTATATTTATTTTCTATTCCTGGGGGAAAGAATAAACTATAACAATTGGCATTTTGTTACATGCACTCATATTCTTTATATCTGAAAACAAAATATCTTTATTTCAGGTGTAATTGCCTCTCAGAGAATTTTTCAATAGCTTGCTGGGTTGTCTCTCTGTTTCTATTTCTACAACTTCACCCCTATCCTTTCCTCTACTACAGGATTATTTCATATAACACTGAAAAATAACAGGTCCTCTTCTATTATGAGTGACTGCATTTTCTATGGGAATAAATCCCCAGTCTTTATTATAATGTGATAACACCTTAAAAACAAAGTGTGGCCTGTCCTTCCTCTGATTCCAGCACTGATCCCATCAGACTCCCTGCTGCCTTGGACACCTTCCATGTCAGACTCAGTGACTGCACTGTTTCCTTAAGAGAACATGTTCTTACATGCCTGACCCTTTTCTTTACTTTTTCTTTTCCATTTTTTTATTTGCACATTTTATTTCTTTTGTCCAGAATGTCCTTTTTTCCGTTTGTGCACCTGCTAACCTTGTATTCATTTTTCCATTCTCAAGTCATGCATCATTGTTCCATGCAGCCTTCACTTTCCTCTCCAGCAAAAGTAGGTGCTTCAAGAGTGCAATGTGCACCACCCGAAGAATGGACATATTTGAAACTCGGACTTGGAGGGGGAGGAGGGGCAAGGGCAACATACGTAACCTAAACATCTATACCCTCATAATATGCTGAAATAAAAAAAAAAA